CCTTTGTGTTCAATTGAAGTAGAATTCAGAGGGGGGAGTTGAATCTTAGGCCCAAGGCAGCAGCCTAGGTCTGCGTGTGGATCCTTGTTCTCCATGCAGGCTTCCCTGATTTCCACTGCTGCTGGAGTTGGAGCGCTTGCTTTCCTCGCTTGAATCAAACCCAAACCACATCATATTCTTTCGGTTTGCCCGGGCGAATCAAGTGCCCCAAGCCCCTCCAGAACCGTGCCATCTGGTGCCAACAAGGTGGTCGTTTACCAGGCTGCAAACCTCATCACAGGCTCCTGCATTGCACCATCGCCCCATTTGAGCTCGAAGAGTCAGGTATCTTACAGTGCCTGCCGCGCAAGATGATTTCCTTAAGCTGCTAGAACTCAGATACACACAGCCGGACCAGAGCTCCCTTCTTGTAGACATGCACCACTAAATGCTACTGAACGGCTTGAATGATCAAGCGGTCACAGCTTGGCAGCCCCCGAAGTCTCACGCTAGGACCCAGACTAGGCCCCTGTTCCTTTTGCATGGATTTAGGTTCCCTTGCATGCCCCTTGAAACCAAAAAGGGTGGCCTTTTTATTCCTACAAGCTATTGTTGGGCCTAGTAGAACCTAAACTCAAGCCATGTGACCTGTAAGGCCCGAACTACCGCCCTAGGCAGAGAGCCCAAATGCCCCCGTACAGTGATGACACAAATATCCTTGCGATGTTTCTTGAAGGTATGTTCTTTAAACGAATGTGTGTGGAACCTTTGCATGTAGCAATACATTCCTGGCTCGCCATCCTACAGACAGCAAGCCCCAAAAAGGTCCATGTAGCTTTGTAGTATGCACATGCGCCCTAAAGCTAACTATATGGGAACCCCTTTCTCAGGCCCAAGTCGAGACTATGTAGCACCCCAAGCCCTAAACTCGCAGTGTACGCAAGTGTTGGGCGGGTGGCAAAAAACGCTAAACCCTAAACCCCAAACCCTATACAGGTACATGGACCTTTAGGGAAGATGGGCAGGCTACTGCGTTGGCCGTTTCGGAATCTTCGGCGCGCCTCCGGACGTAGGCGTGGTCTGGGGAAAAGCGACTTTGGTGCGGATTTTTGGAAGCTGCACGCTTGGAGTGTGAAACGCATATATATATGTATATCTATCTATCTCTATATATATGTAGAGAGAGAGAGGCCTACCTTAAGAACCCACAACCTACTTCTTCTTTGTAGGTTCGCTCTGGATCCTTTTTGAAAGGGGATTTATACTAAGGACCTACAACAAAAGTAGGTCTTGGGTTCTGAAGGTAGGGTTTCCCAAGCAACTCAAGCATCTCCAAGCTTCATAAGCCTAGGATGCTAATAGTGCTCTTTTTTCTTTTTTTGCCGGGGAAAGGGGGGGGGGGTTAGGTTCCCTGATAAACCCCTATAATCAAAAAAGGGGCACCCTTGGCAATCCTAGGTTCCTGGGCAACCCCCTAAACCCGAAACCTAGAAGCCCTGAAGCCGCTCCTTGCAGGCAGGAATCCCTACCTGCGAGACGTCGGCGTGGCCCGGGCCTGGGGCAAGGGAAGAGCTCAGCAAAAGCTGTGCCCGAACCCCTACAAACCCTAAATTTAAGCCCTAAGCCCTTGGCCCTTAACCCTAAACCCTTAACCCTAAACCCCAAACCCTAAAGCAAAAAACCCTAAACCCTAAACCCTACCTTCAGCCCTGTCAACTTGTGCCTTCGTTGCATCCACCCCCTCCCCCGCCACCTGTACTTCTGTTAACCTCCGATGTGCCGATTCTCAGCTTTCCTGCCTTGCCTGACCACCAGCTCTCCCAAAGTCTATGGAAGGCCCACGAACCTCTGATTTAGGGTTTAGGGTTTAGGGTCCTGGGTTAAAAGGGTTTAGGGTTTAGGGTTTAGGGACATCTGGCCTAGAAAGTCAGAGCGCTGACCACAACCACGAAGCATCAAGCTGCTCTGCTACCTGCTCCCTCGGCCAAGCCCCGAAACTCCAAAACCCTCTCTCCCTAGACACTCTTTCCCCAAAAACCCCTAAACACTGAAGCCTCACAACCTCAGTCCCCATGCAAATTGTCAAATCTTCATGCTCTGCCTCCTGACTTTCTCCACAAAACTATCGGGGGCGCCAACGTGTGAGGTGCTTCTGCTCGTCTCGCTGCAGCTCGTGCCCTTCGCTGGCACCTAAATTCGGGCGAGGGGGCCTAAGCTCGACAACATCTCTACTGCAAACCGCAAGGTACCTTAAGAGCCCAAACCGACTTTGTTTTTGGTAAGAATAGAAGAATACCTTGAAAGGGGCTTTATACGAAGGACCTGCGGAAAAAGTAGATTTTGGATTCTTAAAAGGTAGGGTTTACGACAGTTTGGGGATGTACTGGCGACGCCCTTTATCGGGTTCGGGTTGCGCAGCTGTCCTGTTACACATCTCGAAACTTATGCGGCATGTAGATGTAGGGGGGGGGGGGGGCGTTTCAAGTCACAAGCTTCGAGCCATAAGGCTGAGCAAAGATTATTCTTTGTCTTTCCGGCATTCCACCGTTTGTTGTGGGACCCTATTCACCATCCTATACCCGAAGCGTGAGCTCGACAATCAGGCTCTACCTGGGAAACCCAAACCCTACAGAATTTTAGTAGTTTCAACTAAAACTGGTTTTGCCCAGTGGATGGCGGAAACCCCACGAAATGGCGGAAACAGCTGCTTAAGGGTTTGGTGGGCAAGAATTGGGATTGAAGTTTTTTGACAAACGGTCTTTGGAAGATGCCTATTTTCAGTCCTGTGATTGCGTTTTTTTCATTTTCTGAGATCGCGTTTTTCGTGTGCAGTAGGTTGATGCTCCAGCGGCATCGCGCAGAGCATGTACTATGTCTCGATCAACGAAGATCGACCATAAACCTACAATACTTAAACCCTTAATGCTATGGACCCTAAACCCCTAAAACCCTAAGCCCAACACTGCAGAACTGTGACCGTTGTGCAGAGCATGTACGATGCCTCGCATGCACCCCAAATCCCTGTTCCGACGCTTTAACCCAAGCCCTAAACCCTGAAAAGAGAGCTCTTGCCATTGCTCCCTGACTGTGCTTCGAAGATTGGCGCTTCTCCAGCCCAAACACCCTATAAAACATTCGCAACCCTAAGCCCATATCATGCAAGACCTTAAATTAAGCTTTAAACCAACACACTGAACTTTCGTGCGATGGCTCCACCGGAAGGGGGGGGGGGGGGGGGGGGGGGGGGGGGGGGGGGGGGGGGGGGGGGGGGGGGTGGAAGGGAACGGAGAGGGCGGAGGGCTAATCAGTTTTTTTTTAGAACTCAAAATAGCGTTTTTTGAAAATCAAAATAGCGTTTTTTGAAACACATTGGAAAAAAAGAGATGGCGGAAATAGGCGGCGAGATGGCGGAAATCGGCGGTCAAATGGCGGAAAACGCCGGAATGCAATTTTTCGGGCCAGCCCGAAGTTTCAGTTTTTCCATTTTGAAGTGGCAGAAATACCGGGAGAGGCCGCAAATCTTGAGACATCAGCTGCGTGCTGTCTGCCAGCTTGCGCGCACGCCATGTGGTCTGGGATTCAGGGTGTTATGTGTGGGATTCGACACTCACCATAAATATATAAGGGTTTATATTTAACGTGTATTGGGTTTTGGTTTGCTGAGGTGTTGAACCGTGAGTCCAGGTTTGGTTTCGGCTCTGCCGCGCTTCTGGAAGCTTTTTGCCTGACAAACTCTGAGCGCGAAAGCCCGGTGTCTAGTACCTGCTGCTTGCAAGCCATGCAGTGCTTGGACATCATGCCCCAAAGTGCAACTGCGCCTCACATAAGCCCTCAAAAACTGGGATGCTCCGAGGCTACGATGGGGTCTCATGAATGAGGTTTCAGGTCAAGGTATTGCCAGAGTTCAGGCTTAGTTCTGGGCCTCATGGCGTAATATAGTTGTATCCAATTCCAGGATACAAGCCAACAGACCACAGAGCTGGGCCAAACCGACATGGCCAAATGCAAGTTCTGAAAATCTGAAATGCCGTTTTTTGTTTTTGACGTTCCGTCTTTTGGCAAGACCCCACTGCTCAACATTTCAATTTTTGCCTGGCAACCCTGAAAACCAAAAACTTCAACATGCCAATTTTCCCAGGAGATGGCGGAAATATTGCACTTTCCTCCTCATAGCCTTTTTTTTGAAACCCAGGGTTTCCCAGGTAGTACCTTTCCTAGATAATTAGAATAGGGTTTTGGGGAATATTCTAGTATAATACAAAGGGGCCATCCGGGAATACCATTAGTAACTATTCCGACCCCGATATATTACTCCTAGAGGTCGGAAATGACCGGGCTCTTTCTTGATGGCGCCATATCCATTAAAGGGTGGCTGTAAGGTTTGATTTGGGTTCAGAGCTCAGGGTTCAAGGTTTCTATAGGCTCACCTTCAAGTACCCTCTGGAAGCACCGTAGTAGTACTACGCCCGCCCTGCCAGGTCCGTCTCGGCAAGTATCACGAACCAGCCAAAGGAGCGTGCGCGAGCCATGTGCGCCCGGCCATGTTTTGTGACACTACCAAGTACTTCCAGGGACTCCGTTGTATAAGCCCTAAAAAAGCAAAGCCCTAAACCGCCTGCCTCGTGATCCTTACATGTCTTGTAGCCTAACTTCCCTGGGTCCCTGGAAGTAAACGTTCTTGGAATCCCCTTCTCAGCAACTCACCTTTGTGTTGTGCGCGAGGAAGGTTTCGAATCTGCTTGGGATGGGTTTAAGGTTTAGGGCTTAGGGTTGATAAGGTCCTTCAGCATCCCATGCTGCTGCTGGCATGGCGGCTTTGAAGTCAAGTGTCTGTAGAAGCCTTACTTGGTGGTTCGTGGGTAGTTACCCATGATTTTTTGTTTGTTTCCTGGGATGTTTGTAGTCATAGCTAGAGCTGTTTGTGGACTCGGACTTGCTTCGTGATTTTACGTTTATAAACTTGCTTCAGGCACTTGCCGCCCTAGTAGTGGCGACCAGTGCACCTCTTAGTTGGCAGGACCATGCTCTCCGACCCGCTCATTGAAGTCACGGAGGAGGAGCGTCGTTCTGCGCAGGTGCACCTGTGATGGAGGCCATGAAGCGCGAGGTTGTATCCCGAAGTCGGGCCTATCTCCGAAGACATACTGTTGGTTTGTTTGTAGGGAGTGAGGGCGTGGGCAAGTATAGCACATGTTATTCTTCCAGTTCCTTCACCCGACCATCCCACAGTAGTACGAGCCAATCATTCTGGCTTCGAAGGACTTCCGTGGTTGCGACCCAGACACCATTTCGCTCCTTGCCTAAGGTTAAAAAAACAAGGCCGACCCATGGAGAAAGAGGAAGAGGGAGAGCTGTGCATCCGAAGGAGATGAGGGGGTTTACGAAAATAGGGACCCCAAATTTTTAACCCCCAAATAGTAGGATCCCCTTATAACAGGACCCCAAGAAGGTACCCCTAAAATCGAGGGCGAGAAAGCTAGGTGAGTGAGTGAGTGAGTGCCTGACTTCCGTACATGTCGTAGATGCCCGTAGGCCTCGGGTGCCAATTCATGGGGTGGGCCGCCCTACCCGACCCCCTGAATGACTCCCGCAGAACTACAGACACCCCATGACACCCCCGCAGAACCCGACGAGCCCCGCATAGCCACGCAGAACCTATATAGGGAAGACTACAACTGCCTTGTGGAAAAGTTCGCAGAACCGCCCGCTGCCTCGCAGAAGCGCGGCTGCCCCGCAAAGGATATTCAGAGGGCGCATAGACAGCCCACCCCATAAATTGGCGCCCGATAGGCCTTCTAGTTGAGACCTGGATATATTTCATCTTCCCTCTTTTTCTGGTTCCCACCATGGAGAGATCCTGCTAAACCCTAAACCCTAAACCCTAAACCCTAAACCCTAAACCCTAACCCCCTTATAACTCATGGACACCTCGGCCCCCCGAGTTTCGTCATCTCGGAGACCAACCCGGACCCGGATGACCTCTACGTGCGGATCCACGAGATGAGGCGCCCCCGCTAGGGGCGTTCAATTCGTGAATATTTTTCACATACAAGTGTGAGAATAACAAAAAAACAATCTTATAAACATATTAAATAAATAAAGCATATTCATTTAGGAATAGGATTATAACTTTCAAAGTTGGCTCCCGGTAAGGCTGTAGATGTTTCGCCGGGTTTTTAGCCCTATAGGCGTATAGAGTTTGGTGGGACAGGTGTTTTTGCATCTTGGTCAGGAGGGTCATGATGTCGCAGTATTCTGGATCGTCGGAGAGGGTTTTGTATGCTGGCCAGGCTGGAATAGTACCGTTAATCGTAGAGACAGAAGAAGCTGCAGCTCGATTGAGCGCTTTGCTTCATGAGCAGTAGCCGAGCTGCATGACCTGCTTGCAGATATATGGCTGAACTCATATGGCCACGTAAGAGTGGGCAACAAAACTGCAGCAGCCTGACAGTATCTCCTGGCACAGCAATCGGTCCAAAACTCGAAGCTCTTGAACCAGTTATTCCCAACAGGGTTTGGGTAGACCCCCTTTGCAGATTGGGCGCGCAGCCCGGCCGGGTGCTGAGATGTCTGGAGGGCCTCAGAGGCTTTAGGGGGGAAATTTCGGGGCAGCTGCGCCCGCGCTCTAAGTGGAAGGCCGTGGATGTTGCAAGAGCCCTGCACTTCCAGGGACCGAATGTTTCAGGATACTTCTGGATATTTTAGGATGTTTTAGGAACATTTTATAGGGCATAAGAGCACTCTTCCAGATGGACATCCACAGTAGACTGCGGCAACTTTCGAGCACGGGGAGTTGAGGCTCATAGGCTCGCGTGAAGGCTCACCCATGTGTTCTCGGACACAAAGGAAACAGCTTCTGGACCTGGAATCCAGGTGCTTTGGCTGCGTTGTTCGGTGTGGGTTCACGGATGGGTTTCACATGGTGACAAAGACGTAATGCTGAGTTTCCTTGAAGTGACAGCGGCAGATCGCTTGGCATACACGTTCGGGTCGAGGCTCTTCTGTGAATGTGGTCCTTTCAAATAACTCACAAATGACTAGTTTTCTGCAAACACACATTGGAGGGATCCCCCCCAATACAGATCTTACTCAGACAAGCGGACGTGAGTCTGCAGGTTCACGTCACAGTCACATGCGTCATATCCCAAACTCTGCAGCCGCCAAGGTATCAGTCGCGCCGCAAGCGAGCAACTGTCCCGCAGGCCGCCCCAAACACCGCATGTCGAAGTGCTGAGTTGAAATAGCAGATCTGCATTGTTGCTGCGTTGCTGCTGGAAATTGCTATAGTATGTGCATGTTGTGGTCAATCTTTGGGGTGCCTTCACGCGGGGGTTGATCCCACTGAAACTTCTTCAACGGACCCGGACTTCTCTGGGGCTCTGATGTTTCTCAGTTCTCGGGTTGAGGCATCCATGGCAACATGGCTGTGTAGCTTAGACGGACGCACCTTCCCTCACGTAGGCGTAGAATTGCCTTTTTACCTTGCACGTTCCCTTCGAAACCTTGCCAGTCTGGCAGTCAGCTGCTAGCTATCTCCGGCTATGAAGGGACATATAATAGTGATTTTGGGGCTATTTTGAGCCTGAGGGTTTCAGTTCTTTGGAGCTTGGGGATGGAAGAGCTGAACTGGGGCGCTTGACAGGGCCTCTTTGACGAGCGGCGCTCGAGACTCTCGGCTCACACAGGCATGCAGCTGGAGAGCCAGACTCAAAACCAACGAGCATGGGCTATTAGGCCTAACCAGCCCTATAAAGGGCCTTTTGAAGGGGTTATAGGGTATAACAGCCATGTAACCGACAGCCATATCCCTAAACCCTGTGAACCCTTGAACCCTTACACCCCCCTGTCTTCATTCAACCGAAGAAGCCCTCATGCAAACCCCAAGGAAGCCTTGTGCCCAGACCATGCGTTCGCACAATCGTGCTGTTTAGGGTTTGGGGTATTATGGTTCAGGGTATTAGGGTACTAGGGTTCAGGGTTTAGGGCTACTAGGACCCAGTGTAGATGCTTAATTATTCCCTTTTTGTTCGGTTTTAGGTTCTCTTATAGGCCCCTTTAAGCCTTGTTATTCCTAGGTTACTCTTGAGTGTAGTTGTGCTATTGTGTACAGGCATTGTGTAGCTTGCGGCTATGGCAGTCTATGTGTGATTGCTATCATGACATGGTGTCTTATGGTTCTTCTGCTCTTGTTGCTATAGAGTCCTATAGAGGGTATTTCCCAAAGTAGGGGTTCCCCCTTTTTTACCCCAAATATAGAAAAGAACCCCTTAAGTGGACCCCCAAAAAGGGTTCCCCTTTTTCGTAAGCCCCCATAATCCCATAGAGGGCTTTTTGAGTTTCTAGGGCGTTGTGTGGCGATCTCAGGCCATCTTCACCTTGCAGGGCTTGGCGGAAGAGGCCTGTTTGGCGCCAGCTTTCTTCAGAGGTTGATGGCATGGCTCGCGTGTGTTCTCAGGGTTCAGGACTTCACTGTTTGCTCCTTCTCTCCCTCTCTCTCTCTCTCTGTCTCTCTCTCTCCTTCTCCTCTCCCAATCTCTGGCTATGACTGGTCCAGACATCGGAAAATTTGGCACATGCTCGGGCATAGTTGCGGATGTTGCGGAGCCCATATGCATCAGTGAGGTCGAGAACCCAAGTCAAGATCCGAATCCTCATGAGCACTGGAAAGCGTAAACCTGCAGACGTCACCTGGTCTGAGCGCAGTCCTTAAAAAGTCTAACTCGCGAAGTCCGGGGCATTTCCGGGCCTCAAGCACTTGAAGGTTCATGTGGGTACTTGTAAGTGTAGGGTTATACGTACCATAAATACGGTTATAACCATAGTTACCCTACTTGTAGCGTTACTTGTAAGTACCCATGAACCTCCAAGCAAAGCTGCCCCACACCGACACAGCCTAGATTAAAGACTACAGACCCCACCAAATCCCTGAGCGCAGCAATTCAAGCGTTGCATCTTTATCAGCATCCCACCTCGAGCCGTGGCAAGTAAGGTAAGGAGGCTATATTGTAGGGCTCTTAAGGGTTCAAGGGGGGTATGTAACACAAGGTCCCTAATACTCCTAAGATTCCCTAAGGTTCCCCAGATACCTATCGCACAGGAACCCCCTGAACATCCCTATAACTTGCAAAGCTAAAGCGCCGGAGAACCATCCCCTCATCCCGCTCAGCCCAAGCTTATGGATGCGAGGCAGAAGGGAGCCATACGGTGGCGCGAACGAGGTCGGTCACATTGCATGGGCAAGGTCGTAGTTCGTAGGGCGCGGCCTGTGACAAATCAACCCTCAGGGTTCAATGGCTTGCTTGGGTGGTCTTGTTCAGGGCCATGATGCTTGACACGTGCCACTCTGCCTACTTTGGCTTTAACCCATTGGGTCGAATTTGTATATATCCACTGCTAAACGAAGTTGCCTTGCTTGGCGACGGCCGCGTGGAATTGCACGTGCTGCGCAAGACCTGGTTGTGGAGCCAGGCAGAGTATAGGTGTACAAAGCTGGGCACTTCCGCATTTAAGGCCATCCAACCCTTCATGCGAGGGAGGTGGAGATTTGCTCATGGCATGCCGCCACCACCACCAGGCCGTTCTGCTCGCACCTTCCGCCAGAGAGCATGGTGGACCTCCTGCTTCTTCTGTTTGCTGTGCTACGGCATGAGTGGCGCTGGCGGCGTCTTCCTGGTGCCACACTCCGGCGGCTCCGCTGCTGATCTGACAAGGGCGCCGAGGACAGGTTGCTCTTGCAGTTGTGCTGGAGACTCCAAGCCCTAAGGACCGCAACACCAACCCTGAACTCTGCAACGGGCGCCATGTATGTGGCAAAGCATTGGCAAAGCACCCTATACTGCACTAGGCACGAATGAGATTTGATTTTGAACAGGGCGACGGCGAGGTTATGCTTTGACCTGCAAGCTTCACAGCCCACTGCCCACACAACCGCCTTGCGGGCGTCCACATCAGAAGGCCAACTATCCATTGATGCAGAGCAGAGTGCCTCGCTCATCGTGAATTTTTGCCGCTTATACAGTACGTGCGTGTCTCTAGTTGAAGCTCTGGTGCCATTCCTTTTAGTCGCATGCTGTTCCCTGAGTTGTAAGAACCTAAAATCTCCTTCTGTGTAGGTTACCGAAGAATGTTATAAGGGGCTTATACTACTACGAACGGCCTACAGAAAGGATGGTTTGGTTTCTGAAGGCATACTTCATCCCAGACCTGGCCAAGGCAGGGACGAAGCTTTCCTGGCTCGCGTGCACGGCCTCGCGAAGGAGGTCTTGTCGTGGCCGCAGCTGGCGGAGCAGAAGAGTCTTGGACATGGAGTTCCATTGGAGTTTGGAAAGACAGATTGAATGTGAAAGTTCAAACGACACCAGTGTCCATACACCCGTTCTGTCATGTGCATGGAGCGATAGCTCAAGCTGGCAATCTTGGTTTGTTCAGTACCAGTGCTGTGTTTCTGCACAGGCTTCTGCATATCATATTCTGTTTAATTCCAGGAAGCTGATGTGGGCAGCTGCGTTGAAGCTGGGCGCAGTGCCCCTTCAGGAGCCGCGCAAGGCATATACCGACCAAGAGAGTTGCTTTCTATGGCCTTGGCATGTATAGTTTCCTTCATTTGAAGTGCAATGCAGGGATCAAGATTTGATGTTCCGCCAAGCGTTTCTGACTTCGGATGCTTTGCTGCGCATTGTGGCATTGCAGGAGTTGCCGCCCTGGTACCTGCAGCAGCAGAACCTTTCGCGTCGGGTCATGGGCCAGAACCCAAGACATTGCATGTTTCCAAAATACATCGAAATCATGCAACCTGGCACGTGGAGCTTTTGCTGTGGAGGTGTGGACCTTCTCGGCATCGATGGCCGCCTGGCGGTCCTCTGCTGCTGCGAGACCGGCAATGTCACGGCGCTCCGCCGCGACGTGAAGCGCTTCCTGCGCACCGCCCGATGGGTTTGCAAGGTCAGGAATCCTGAAGCATGGCAGATACTACTGTGTCAGCATGCGTGTGTGTGACCGCTGCCCATGCGTATGTTAGATTCTGCTAGATGTTGGAAGGCAGTCCGCGACAGTCCCTGTGTGCAGGCGGAAGACTGTCGTCTTGTCAGTCGTTTCGGCTTCAAGCTGCCGAAGGAGTTCAAGCGGTGGCTCCAGAACTGCAACATCAAGCACCAGACCATCAGCCAAGCAGAAGCTCAACAGCTTGCAACTTCCTCGACCAGTGACCCAGGTGATCCAGCAAGCGAGTCAACTTCTCAGCCGCTGCGCCCATGTCAACAGGCCTTAGCTTGCAACATTCCCGAACTCGGCCGGCGCGTCGCTGTGTGTGCAGCTTCTCAATAAGTATGGTTTAATTAAATACTGGCTAACTCATGCTGACGCTTCTAGGGCTCAGCAAAATTTAAACGTACCTCTTACTTTTCTGGCGACTGACCATCATCGAAGCCTCAGCAGGCCTGCCTGGAAGCGTGTGCAGAAGGAGCGCGAGTGATTCAGATGGCCTGTGGCACGGGGAAGACCCGAGTCATCCGGGAGCTGGCCGAGAATGTATCTGGGAAGGCCCAGAGCGGGCCAGTTCCCTCTTGCTGTTGTTGCGTTGCTGGTCATCGGGTTATTTATACATTACTTAGTTGCAATTGGAATGGTCCAGGGTAAAGTCGCACATGAGACGACAGGTGCTGATCACGGTGCCTTCGCGGGTGTTATTGGAGCAGTTCGCGCCACAGTTCCCGACTTTCTGCAAAGCGGGCACCGGCTACAACAAGAGAATCAGGAAACGAGCCCCCGGCTTCGTCGCAGTGACGGATTCCGTCCGCTTCCTCAAGGACTTGGAGTTTGAGGCTGTTTTTGTGGATGAGGCGCACCATCCGCTAGCGCCAGGGCTGCCAGAGAGCCAGGAGCTTTACTTGTTCTCGGCAACGCATCGCAATTCCACAGACTTCGAGTACAGCATGGCACAAGCCATCGAGGATGGGGTGCTGTGCGACTACGACCTCACAGTGCCGGTGATCACAGAGGGCCACGCTTACTTGGGCTTGGCCAATCTGCTGCTGCGCCAACCAGGTCGGTTCAGGCGAGTTCTGGCCTATTGCAACACCGTGGCAGAAGCTAAGCGATTTCGGCGCACACTTGAAGTGGCAGGCATTGCTGCGTGGCATATCAATGGCAATACCGAGCGCAAAAAGAGGGCAGAGGTGCTAGAGGAATTTTCGGGAAACATGAAAAACACAGTTCACGTCCTGGTGACGGTGCAAGTGCTGGGGGAGGGCGTGAACATTCCAAACGCGGACACCTGCATGTTCGTGGAGCCACGCAGCAGCTACACGAGCATCGTTCAGGCCATTGGCCGAATATTGCGGCAGGATACCTCCAAGCCACTTGCTCACATCATACTCCCAGCAATGAAGATGCATGCAGAGACGCCTGCTCCTGCAAGTGGTCTGGCTGAGGGCGGGTTCACCTCTGTTGCAGCTGACGATGCTGCTGACCCCAGCTCTTGGGATGCAGCTGGGCAAGAGCGGCAAGCCGTCGGCCTTGAGCCTGCCATTGGGAGCACAAATGCTGGACCCACGATCCCTGCGCGAACGATGTCAGAGGGCAGGGCTCTTGCCCAGGTCTCTACAAATTCTAAGACAGCTCGGGATGAACGCCATGTCCTCCACAGCGAAGAAGGAGTCCCGAACGGTCCTTCCACTGCACTTGCAAGTCAGGAGAATCATTCACAACATGCAGCAACTAAATCGCACGCAACAAGTGGAGGTGAGGGGTTGGAGGTCCAAAAAGATCGGTTGCAACCAGCAGTCCTGCGTGCTGCGACAACTGAGTCCGAGTTTCAGCAGCATCCTACTAAAAGCACCGCCCTGCACCAGAATCTGGAAGTAGGGCTTCAATCCAGGCTTCAAGCACAGGCACGAGCTTCGAAGTCATCTTTGGGCAAGCAACCCCATGCTCAGCCAGCAAACGAGGCCGAATCAAACAATCGTGTGGTAAAGGATGTTCCGGCATTAGCACCGCCCATGCAGAATACCCTAGGCAAGAAATTGAAGCTGACCAGCTCTTCGAGTGTACAGACGGAACAGAGCTATACTTCGCAACTCGAGCGTTTTTTGTCCACAATTGCTCAAGCTGACAGTCGCTTGGCTGATCTTTCTTCGTTGGGTTCCCGACTGTGGTTCACGACCTGCAACTCGGTACAGGCCACCTCCATACCCGCCGCAACCACAAGAGGATGGTATAGTCAGCTGGCCATCATGTTGCAGACCCCAGACCGATGGGAGGCCCGCATGCTGCAACTGGAAGACTTTGCAAAACGACACCGTCGACTGCCACGAGTCTATGGAAGCACGCAGGAGAAATCCCTGTTTTACTGGCTGAAAAACGCAGGTTATTTGATTGCGCGTGGTGGCATGGGAACTTCGCAGAGATTCCAAAGGTTTCTTGCGTCATCGTCGCAGCTTGTCATCCAGCGTGCTTTGAAGTGGCAGGATCGCGAAGCCCATTTCCGCAGACAGTGTGCCAAACTGCGGGACTACGTGGACAAGTTTCAGTGTCTACCGCAAAACACACCATATCCACAGTCTGAATCTCATAAGTTAGCTAAGTGGCTTTCCCACCAGCGAAAAGATCTTTTTCGGAATACGTTCAGCCCCCGTAGGGCTGAGGATCGCAAATCGGCTGTAATAAACATTCACCCCTTGGTGGCCAAGTATGTCCAGTCTCGGAGGCCGCAACGTCCTGAAACTAAAAAACTCGCGGCTGCGCGAGCTTCGAAGCTGCTCAGGTTTGTGCACAAGAATGGGCAGCTTCCAAGGGCTACTAGCTCTGCGGAAGAGTGTTCGCTGTATCAGTGGATGTGGCGACAACGGCGACAAATGGCGCAGCTGTCACCGCAGCAGCAGTCTGAACTGTTCGGCTTGCATCCGCTCATCACCGCTTTCTGGAACAAACTTTACAGAAAGCGTAGACAATCGTAGACAGCAATTCTGGCACGTTCTGCAGCGCATTGGACCACATGCTGCGTGCATGCATCAGGCAGGAAAAAGGGCCAAAGAGGGATGACGGATGACGTGCGAATTTGCAGTTGCGAAGGTGAGTTTAGCCCAAAACGCTTTGCGTTGGGCGGTCCGGACCGTATATGGCATGCAAGCATTGAAATCTGGACACCCTGCCATGTTGGGATGAAGACGACCGGCGTGTCTTGTTGCGGTAGCCCCGAGTCGGACTTGTTTCCCGGTTGTGATTTGCCGCTCCACGCCAGCATCGAACGAAAAGGGCTTGCATGGCAATTCAGCATGCCATCGCTAGTTACCCCACATAGGTCCAAAACACGGTATCACTGTTGCATTTGCCCAGGAAGATTCTTTTGTTCGCAGTTTTCCTGGTTTCCAAGCTCAAATCACAACTTGTAGTTTCTGAATCCTCCGAAGGAGTTGGCCGCCAATGAAGGGCTCGGAAACCTTCGGCAGTCGCACAGGCAGCAGGGCGTGGAGGGAATGAAGTGGGCGTTTGAGTGTATGCAGAGCTTCAGGGCTGTTGCGTTCTTGGGACTTGGCACAAAATCCGACACTTGCAGGTTCATGGCTACTTATCAGTACGTAGGGTTATCAGCAGGGCAACTATGGTTATAACATGTAATAACCTTATTTAAGATACCTCATAACCCTACTTATACGCAGACATGAACCTTCAAGTAGTGGCAAATGTGGGCTGGCCTGTTGGATGCTCCTGTCAGCCCCAAAGCCTAGCCGCTGAATTTTCGCATTCCCAGTTGCCACTTCCGTTTGCCGCAGAACGAACAGAATCCGAAAATCCGAAGTTGGCAAGGTAAGTTCTGGATTCGCATTGATGTTCCTGTTTTTTCTGTTGGCTGTTTTTTGTTTGTCCAAGCCCTGCAGGACTTCCGGATCCTCTACTACATTCTGCACCCGAAATGGCTGCGGATAGCCCAACAACAGGCACCCGAGCTTGCCTAGGTGGTTTAGGGTTTAGGGCGTTGGAGTTTAGGGTTTAGGGTTTAGGGTTTAGGGTTTAGGGTTTAGGGTTTAGGGCTGGTTTAGGGTTTAGGGTATAGCGTTTAGGGGTTTAGTCTTGAGCTGCCGGCACGCCCCTCAGCCCGTGCTTGCGCACTTCAGCAAATGTCAGCAGCGCTCTCTGCAAGCCGTTCTGGTTGGCCCTTGGATCTTGTTGAAGTGAGCTGCAGTTTGCGCAGCCCAGCTACTTTTTACACCCTAAAGGTGATCCGTACTTGCCTCAGGTGTGAATGAAATAGTCTCTATTTCAGGTTTTTGGTTTTACTGAAACCATGTGAAGCCTGCTTCGTCGACAGTCAGACAGAATCGGCGAATCCAAAACTCGGCATGTGAACTCATGCTTGTGAACAGCAGGATTGCAGAACCATTTGAGAGCTGTTGGGACCACTTGGCTGATCTCGTGCCTAGCCGACTCCACAGGTCTCGGCCCCGCAACCCGAAGCCATGCATCGGTTAAGCCCGACATCTCAGCAACTTGCCAGGTAGCTCGGAGCTTCCGCCAGAGGCACATGGGGACTTCGGGTCAGATGTCCTTAATGGGGTGGAGTTCGAGTTCTGCGGTTCCCTCCCAGCAAGCCTAGCTGGGTCCAGTCTGGGTTGGGAAAGCCCCCCCCACTCACCCTAAACCCTAAACCTCTTAACCCCTAAGCCCTAAACCCTAACAACCCAAAAAACCCTATGAACCCTCAAACCCTACAAACCCTACAAACCCTATAAACCCTATAACCCCATAAACCCCATAAACCCTAAACCCTACCCACGCGTCCACATTGCTCAGGCCATCGATCCATCCGTCCTTGCAGGGATGCCCGACGAGATCGCTAGCCAGGCAGCAGATATCCTAGGTAGGCCCTTGGGACATTTTTGTATTTTCCCTTATCGGGTTTAGCAGGATCATATTTCGCAGTATTTTTCAGATGGTCTTAAGGGCCATCCAGTATCCGACTGTGTCCAAGGGAAGAGGTCCCTTGAATCTGCTCCACCCCTTGTTGCGTGAGAAACGGGGCAATTTCAAGAATGAAGGCTTCCGGAAAGCACGCTGTTTCGGAAACTCCATTGAAGATTCGGACGAAGGAGCTGTGGCACGCCTTGCAGAGTTCCCTTTAGGCTCCAAATTGCCCAAAAACCGTTTATAAGAAGGCATTTGGGCCCAAAAAGCCCCTAACATAGCAGGTCTCAGAGCCTTGGGGTTCAGGTCTGTCGGAATGAAGGAGGGCGCTGCCCTGCAGCATGGCACAGTACTTGCCACGGCGTAGCTGCAAAATGCAGTAACTTTCCCTCCTGCCCTACAGCATCTCCATGCAGAACTACTCGAGCCACCAGCGCCTGAAAGACGAGATCGTCAACAAACCCTACATGACAACCGGAAATAACCGGGTTCAAAGAATTCCCCAAACTCTGTAAGTAGCATAAACCCTACACCCTCACGCCTACTTGAATCGCGGGTACTGGCAAGTAGGGTTATAGGTACCCTAGGAAAGAACCTACTAATAGGTACCCAGATGATCCAAGTAGTAACAACCCCTGGCCTATAACCCTTAACTCTAAACCCTGAACCCTGAACCCTGATCCCTGAACCCTGAACCCTGAACCCTGAACCCTAAACCCGAAACCCGCAACCCGCAACCCTAAACCCTAAACCCTAAACCCTAAACCCTAAACCCTAAACACAAAACAACCCTAAGCAAAACAACCCTTGGCAGTACTCGGCGGCCCCGACGCCACGGCACAAGCCCAGCCCGGCGATGCGCAGTCTCGGGGGAGTCATGGCGGTGGCTGCCGGGGTTTGCCCCTGGGCTTAAAGGGTTTAGGGTTTAGGGTTTAGGGTTTAGGGTTTAGGGTTTAGGGTTTAGGGTTTAGGGGGCGTAAGGGTTTAGGGTTTATAGGGTTTAGGGTTTAGAGGGTTGTAGGGTTGTGTGAGTCACGGCGGAGGCTGCCGGGGTTTGCCCCTGGGCTTTGAGTCTCCTAAAGGGTTTTGAGGCATCAGGGTTTGGGGTTTGGTTTATAGGGCTTAGCGTTAAGGGTCTCTAGGGTTTTGGGGCTGTGTTTTAGAAAACTCTTTGGGTGGTATGGGCTTAGGCTTAGGGTTTATACTGAGGTCCCATTTGCTTTAGGGGGCTTGGCGCTTCAGGGTTCAAGGTTTTGGAGGGCTGTCAGGGTCTTGGGTGCTTTAGACGGCTTTTGGCGCTCAAGGGCTTTAGAGTTGTTTCGTTGGGCTTTGGGCTCAGGTCTTGGGGTTTTCGGGGCTTAGGGTAGGGTTTTCGGGCTTACGGTTTTGTAGTCCTGGGGCGGGAGGGTTGTTGTGGGTAGGGTAGAGTGGAGTCTGCGGCTTTCGGGTCTACATCGTGCGGGGAGTGGGAGTTGCCCTAAGGTTGCATCTTGACATAGGGGTGTGTGGGAGACAGGAGGCTGCGGAAAGGCTTGGGCGGTTTCCTCGCCGAAGATTTTCAGGTGAAATGTTCGAAATGGTTCAATCTTGGAGTGGTCCTACCGGGCAAAAACCTACGCCATCTAAACCCATCTAAATCCTGAACCTGACGCTGAACCCCAAAACCCCAGACAACTTGGTAGATTTTCCATTGTGTACCCTAAGGCTCGTGGGCCCTCAAATGGACTTCCCGTCTTTCGGTAGGCGGGTCCTTAAAACCTTCAGGTAAACCCAAATAGAGCGAGCCGCTCTAAATCCCAAAACCCGATACCCTAAACCCTAAACCCTTGTAACCCTAAACCCTAAACCCACAAAAACAACAACAAAACGCAAGCCGATGAGATTCCCCAAAGAGGTCGCGGCATGAGCCCTGTGCCAGGGCCTCGGTTGGGCTCTGTTTGCTTTTTTGTGGTTTACTGTAGGGTTCGGGGTTTAGGGTTTAGGGTTTAGAGTTTAGGGTTTTATATTAGGGTTTAGGGTTTAGGGTCTAGGGTCTAGGGTCTAGGGTCTAGGGTCTAGGGTGTGCCTCTGCACAGAAGTTGAGGTAGTTACGTAGCTCCGACATGGGTTGCTCATGAGTACCCTTCTCTGTCGGCTCGCACTGCACAAGGATGTTTTGAAGAATCTCAGTAACTTTTGGAGGTCTATTTGTTTTAGGAGTTTTTCCCGTTTTTTTTGTGACTTTTTTTTTTTTGTTTTTTGTCCTTCCTAAACCCTAAACCCTAAACCCTAAACCTTAAACCTGAACCCTGAACCCTGAACCCTGAACCCTAAACGCTAAACCCTAAACCCTAAACCCTAAACCCTAGACCCTAGACCCTAGACCCTAAACCCTAAACCCTAAACCCTAACCCCTAGTCCCCTAACCCCTAAACCCCTAAACCCCTAAACCCCTAAACCCCTAAACCCCTAAACCCCTAAACCCCTAAACCCCTAAACCCCTAAACCCCTAAACCCCTAGACCCCTAAACCCCTAAACCCTAAACCCTAAAACCTAAACCTAATACCCTAAAACCTAAACCCTAGACCCTAAAGCAAAAAACAAAAAAACATTCCCAAAAACAAACAACAAAATCCTAATTTAATTCTCCGGCCAGTAACTTTTTGGGGGTGGCCCGCAGATAGCCTGGTACCGATTGTCATGGTCGCTGTGCTCCTGCCCTGCAGCCGCTGACTCAGGACAGCCTAGGGTAGTCAACCTTCACCCGGCTGAACCCTGACCCTAAGGGTCCATGTACCTATATAGCCTGTATAGTAGATACTTGGGCCCTGAAGCTACTATATGGGAACCCCTTTAAGGCCCAAGTATATATATATATATACTACATAGGTACATGGACTTTTGGGGTGAGCCAGGGCGCAAGAAGGCAGGATGCCATGCCTTGGGCAGAAGAGCTCCACTCCGCTGGCGAAGTATGCCAGGCGAGTCTCATGTGTGGCGAAACCTCAGGGCTTGGGGGTATTGGGAAACCCTAGTGACCGCCCCAAACCCTAAACCACAAACCCTAAACCCTAA